GGTGCGTCTTGCAACAACCCTGGGCTTTTCGGAGACTGTCCTGGGCGTCTTGGGTCGTCATTTTGGTGACAGTTTGGACCAATTCGGACTGGGCGTCTTGGGAGGGCCTCTCTGGAACATTTTCAACAAGTCTCCGGTGCTGCACGGCGGGTGGGGGGGAGGCTCTTTGGACCGTTCTGGAGAGGTCTGGGGGACTTAACGGCGGCTTCGTGGGTAGTCTTAGAGGCCTCCCAGGCCATTTTCCGCCTGGTGAGAGCGAGCTCGAGGCCGTGTGGGACCAATCATATATCGGTCAGAAAATGTCGCAACATGCATGGGATTCGGCCCTCGAAGCTCCTTGGGCATGTTGTTGGCGGTTTGTTGGGGCGTCTTGGAGTCATATGGGGTGCCTGGAGGCTGTCCTGGGCGTCAGGAGTCGCTGTTTTGGCGAGGGGGGGTATCCCTGGATCGTGTTTGGCATTCGCGGGGGCTGGTTGTCGGCTTCGGGGGCCCTCTTGAACCCGTCTGGGGCTGGTTTCGGGCCGTGTTCAAGAGCCTCCTGGACCGCTTCAGAACGAACTGAAGGGCGTATTGGGCCGTTCCGGATTACACTGGAGCTGGCCGCGCGCATGCGTGAAAATCGGGCAACAGCCCTCGTGAAATGCATGGAAGTCGGCCCTTGGGACATTCTTGGGCAGATTTTCGGCGGCTTCTTGGGGCGCCTTGGAGGCATCGAGGGCTCTGGAGGCTGTCTGGAGGCTGTCTTGGGTCGCCATTTTGGCAAGGATGGGTTCCCTGGATCGTGTCGGGCAGGTCTGAGGGGCTGGTTAGCGGCTTCGTGGAGGTCTGGGGGCTCTGTAGGCTGTTTTTGGATCGCGTTGATCGAACTCGAACGCGTCTGGGGCCGTTTCGGATTTAACCGCCATTAAACACGCGTATTCGTGACGATCCTACAAAGAACCTGGTACAATGCATGGGATTCGGCCTTTGGAACCTCTTGGGCGGGATTTCGGCGGCTTCTTGGAAGCATCATGTGCTGTCTGGAGGCTGTCTTGGGCGCCTTGAATCTTTATTTTAGTGAGAGGGGGCCGCTCGGGGCCCCTCATGGACGGCTCCCGCAAGCCCGGGGCGCCGATGGCGACGCGAGGCAGCTGGCAGGGCCCCCCCGTAGCCCGGTACATGTGTGTATCCGCCGATCCGGCGTGTGAGTTTCTGAAAGCGTGGGCTTGAGCTCGCTCAAGCTTCGCTCTGCCGAGGGGGGGGGACCTCATTTCCGACCTATTTCCGACCTATTTCCGACCTATTTCCGACCTAATTCAGTGCTTCGCCCCACCCCCCCTCCAGAGCGGACCTCCCCCCCCTGCAGAGCCCCCCTCTTCTTTCCTGCAGCCCAGCCCCCCCCCCCCCCCCTGCAGAGCGGACCCCCCCCCCCTGCAGCCCCCCCCCCTCAGAGCGGACCCCCCCCCCCCCCCTCCCCTGCACCCCTCCCCCTGCAGAGCTGAGCAGGCCCCCGCCTGCCGAGCGAACCTCCCCCCTGCAGCCCCCCCCCCCTGCAGAGCGGACCCCCCCTCCCCTGCACCCCCCCCCCCCCTGCAGAGCAGACGCCCCCTCCTGCACCCCCTCCCCTGCAGAGCGACCCCCCTCCCCCGCAGAGCGGACCCCCCCCCCCTCTGCAGCCCAGCCCCCCCCTCCCCCCCTGCAGAGCGGACCCCCCCCGTGCAGCCCGCTCCCCTGCAGAGCGGACCCCCCCCTCCCCTGCACCCCCCCCCTGCAGCAGACCCCCCCCTCCTGCAGCCCCCCCCCCTTCAGAGCGGACCCCCTCCTCTCCCCTGCCCCTCCCTCTGCCGAGCGGACCCCCCCTGCAGAGCAGACCGCCCCCCCTGCAACCCAGCTCCCCCCCCCTCGTCGTCGTCGTCGTCGTTGTCGTCGCGTCGTCGTCGTCGTCGTCGCTCGCGTCATCGTCGTCGTTGTCGTCGTCGCTCGCGTCGTCGTCGTCATCGCCGTCGTCGTCGTCGTCGTCGTGGTCGTTGTCGTCGTCGCTCTCGTCGTCGTCGTCGTCGTCGTCGTCGTCGTCGTCGTCGTCGTCGTCGTCGACGTATTCGTTTTCCTCGTCGTTTTCGTTTTCCTCGTCGTTCATGTCCACAGGCACCCGGAGCGCCCCGGATCGGCGGCACTGGCCGGAGGCCACTACAATATATATATATATATACTAGAACCATTCGCGCGCGCTACGCGCGCGCTCAGGTTCTAGTCCTGGACGTTTCGTGCGTGGCTTCACTTCCTCCAATCTCCGCTCCTTTTCCCTCCTCGTCCTCAGCATCCCTCGCCACCATTACTTACGCCTCCTCATTATCATAATCCATGGTGTGGGTCTCGTGTGGCCATCTTTGGGCTGTCTTGGGGCCTTGCGTGGCCCTCTCGGGCGCCATCAGGAAGCGTGAAATCAATGAAAAACAATTTGGTTTGCAACACTTTGTTTAAACGTAAACGTTTTGGGAGATGCTGGGAGCCAGTTTTTGGGAGCGTTTGGGGAGCCTCTTGGATGCATCTGGAGGTCTCTGGGGGACGTGTTGGAAGCAATTTGTTGGCCTCTTCGGGGCCTCCGGGGAGCCTCTTGGGGGGCTATTGGGAGCCTCTTGGGGCCTCTTGGGGCCTCGCGGGGCTCTGAGTCCCAAGAGGGCCGTTCGGACGAGGCAGCTGGCACGATCTGTTTTTTCTATGGCCCTAAGAAGCCTTACGGCCAGAGAGAAAACGTCGGGCGGCTCGGTACGTTTTTCCCCCCCCGTAGCCCTAGGACGCTTTACGGCCGAAGGAAAACGTTAGGCTCTAAGGCCAAAGAGGACCATTCGGACCAGGCAGATTGCACGATCTGCGTTTTTTCTATGGCCCTAATAAGCTTTACGGCCAGAGAAAAAAACGTGGGGCGGCCCGGTAAGATTTTTTCCCCCGTGGCCCTCTCGGGCGCCATCAGGGAGCGTGAAATCAATGAAAAACAATGTGGTTTGCAACACTTTTGTTTAAACGTAAACGTTTTGGGAGCATCTTGGAGGCAGTTTTTCGGGCCTCTTGGGGAGCGTCTTGGATGCATCTTGGAGGCCTCTGGGAGCGTATTGGAAGCAGTTTTTGGGCCTCTTGGGGGCCTCCGGGGAGCCTCTTGGGGTGCTCTTGGAAGCCTCTTGGGCGTCTTAGGGCCTCGCGGGGCTCTCTTGGGGCCCGCTGAACTCGCTTAGGCAGTCTTGGAGCCCTGTCGGGGCCCTCCTGGGGCCGTCTTGGGCGGCTCCTGGGCCGTCTTGGGGCCCTCTTGGGCCGTCTTGGGACGCCTTTGGGAGCCTCTTGGGCCGTCTTGGGGCGGTCTTGGAAGCCTCTTGGGCTGTCTTGGAGCGGTTTTGGGAGCCTCTTGGACGGTCTTGGAGCGTCGGAAAGCCGAAAAAACGAGAAGACAAAAAACATCGTAAAAACCAATGAAAATCAACGATTGTTGCTTCTTGGGGCCCTCTTGGGAGGCCTCTTGGAGGCCTCTTGATGCGTCTTGGGTGCCTCCTGGGCCGTCTTGAGGCCATCTTGGGCGTCTTGGGACGATGTTTCGGCGACCTCGGGCCGCCTGCGAGCAATTTGAAAGCCTGCCGCACGTACCCGGGAGAGCCAAGAGCCGCCGAGGGGAGAGGCCAGAGGCCGGGTACTGAAATCAGTGCACCCCGGGCCCCCCGGAACCCCTTCCCCATTTATATATATATATATATATATATATATACATATATATATAACACACACATATATATATATATGTGTGCGTATATATATATATATATATATATATATATATATATATATGTAGACATATGTGTATATACGGATGTATGTAAGTTTGTATGTATGTATGCATGCATGAATGCATGCCTGTATGTTTGTATGTGGGTAGGTGGGTATGTAGGTAGGTCGGCAGGCAGGAAGGAAGGTAGGCAGGTACGTAGGTACGTAGCACCCCGCAATTGTGGATAAGAGTGAGGGGGCGGGCGCGGGCGACGCGGGCGACGAGCCGGCGGACCTCGTGGCCCTCACGAAAGCAAAAAAAACCTGGAACGAATGCAAAAGAAACCCGCCGCAAACGCCGAACATTTTGGGTGGGTCGCGGGGTGGGTCGCGGGTGGGTCGCGGGTGGGTCGCGGGTGGGTCGCGGGGTGGGTCGCGGGTGGGTCGCGGGGTGGGTCGCGGGGTGGGTCGCGGGTGGGTCGCCGACGCAAAAGAAACCCGCCGGAGGCGCCGAAGTTGTGGTTTGCTCAATGAACGTAGTTTGGGTCGCGGGTGGGTCGCGGGCTCTACACCTCCACCTGGAAGGAATTCAAAAACAGCCTGCCGCACAGCAGGCGCCGAAAATTTTGTTACTTGTGCACTGAACGCGGTTTGGGTCGCGGGGGATCGCAAGTTCTCCACCTGGAACGACCTGGAACGAATGCAGAAAAAACCCGCCGCAGGCGCCGAAATTGTTGGGAGGGTCGCGGGTGGGTCGCGGGTGGGTCGCGGGGGTCGCGGGTGGGTCGCGGGTGGGTCGCGGGGTGGGTCGCGGGTGGGTCGCGGGTGGGTCGTCGGGTGGGTCGCCGGGGGTACTCGGGGTGGGTCGCGGTCGCGGGTCGCGGGGTGGGTCGCGGGTGGGTCGCGGGTGGGTCGCGGGTGGGTCGGGGGTGGGTCGCGGGGTGGGTCGCGGGTGGGTCGCGGGGTGGGTCGCGGGGCGGGTCTCGGGGTGGGACGACGACGACAAGAAGCTAGAAACAACAAACAACAACAATAGTCTGCTTCGCGGAATTCCATTTCAGCCACGCACCCAGGGACAGTGAATGGCCGTTCGGTTCAGCCCCTCACTCTGATATATGTATGTATACTACAAAGGAATATATATATATATATATATATATACATACTGCATGCCTGCATGAATGCATGCATGCATGCATGCATGCATACATACACACATACATACATTAAAAGAACCAACGCACGCACCACAAGGAACAACCTCGCCGCTCCTGGGTCTCGGCCTCGCCGGCTCTGGCCGGGCTGGCCAAGCCCGCGGCCCAGATCTCGGCCCTGCCGTAGTCCATGCCAGCGGGCCCCGGACCTGTCGGGGCGGCGCCGCCTGGCCGCCGCCGCCGACCGTGGTGTCGCCGTCATCGTCGTCGTCGCCGTCGTCCCCGTCGCTAACGCCGTCGCCGTTGTCACCTCCGTCGCTGTCATCGTCATTGCCGTCGTTGACGTCGCGGTCGTCGTTGTCGCCGTCGCCGCCGCCAACGTCGCAGTCGCCGTTGCCGACATCCACATCGCCAACGTCGCCGTCGGCGTCGTCGTCGCCCGCGCCGTCCTCGGTATCGTCGCCGTCGTCGCCGCCGTCGTTGCCGTCGTCGCCGCCACCGTCGACGCCGTCGCAGTCGGGGTCGCCGCCGCCGTCGTCGTCGCCGTCGCCGTCGCCGTCGCCATCGCCGCCACCGCCGTTATCGTCATCGTCGTCCTCGCCGTCGCCGTCGTCGTCGCAGTCGGAGTCGACGTCATCGTCATCGTCGCCGTGGTCGACGCCATCGCCATCGCCGTCCGCCTCAACCGTCGCCGTCATCGTCATCGACGTCGTCGCCGTCGCCGTCGTCGTCGCAGTCGACGTCGACGTCATCGTCATCGTTGCCGTCGTCGCCGCCAACGTCGCCATCGCTGTCGGCGCCATCGACATCGTTGCTGTCGCCATCGCCGTCGTCGCCACCGACGACGTCACCGGCATCGTCGCCGTCGTCGTGGCCGCCTTCGTCGCTGTCGTCGCCGCCGCCGTCAACGTCGCCATTTCCGTCATCGTCATCGTCGCAGTCGGGGTCGCCATTGCCGTCGTCGTTGCCGTCGTCGCCGTCGCCGTTGCCGTCGCCGCCGCCGCCGCCATCGCATCGTAGTCGTCGGCGTCTCCGTCGTCGTCGTCGTGGACGCCGGCGTCATCGTGGTCGTCACCGTTGCCGGCTCCGTCGCAGTCGCCGTCGTCGCCGTCGCTGTCATCGTCGTCGTCGTCGCCGTCGTCGTAATCGCCGTCGCCGTGGCCGTCGACGTTGCCGCCGCTGTCGCCGCCACGGTCGCCGTCGCCGTTGCAACTGTCGTCGTTGTCATCGTTGACCTCGACGTCGCTGTCGTCGTCGTCGCCGTCATCGTCATCGTCATCATCGTCGTCGTCGCCGTAGTCGCCGTCGTCGTCGTCATCGTCGTCGTCGTCATCGCCGTCGCCGTCGCCGTCGCCGTCGCCGTCGCCGCCGCCGTCGCCGCCGCCGTCGTCGCCGTCGCCGTCGTAGTCGTCGTCGCCGTCGTCGTCGCCGTCGCCGTTGCCATCGCAGTCGTCGTCGTCGTCGCCGTCGCCGTCGCCGTTGCCATCGCAGTCGTCGTCGTCGTCGCCGTCGCCGGCGCCGCGGCAGTCGGCGCCGACGTCATCGTCATCGTCGAGGTCGCCGACGCCGTCGCCGTCGTCGTCGTCGTCGCCGCCGCCGTCATCGTCATCGTCGACGTCGCCGCCGCCGTCGTCGCGGCAGTCGGCGCCGACGTCATCGTCATCGTCGCCGTCGCCGACGCCGTCGCTGTCGTCGTCGTCGTCGCCGTCGCGTCCGCCGCAGCCGTCTCCGCCAACTTCGCCATCGCCATCGCCGACATCGACATCATCGCCGTCGCCGTCGCCGTCGCCACCGTCGTCGCCGACGCCGGTGTCGGCATCATCGCCGTCGTCGCCGTCGCCGCCGTCGCCGTCGCCGCCGCAGTCGTCGCCGTCGTCGTCGTCGCCGTCGCCACCGTCGTCGTCGTCGTCGTCGTCGTCGTCGTCGTAGTCGCCGTCGCGGTCGCCGTCGCAACCGCAGTCGTTGTCGCCGCCGCCGTCGCCGTCGTCGTCGTCGTTATCGTCGCCGCCGCCGTCGCCGTCGCCGCCGCCATCGCCGCCGCCGCCGTCGCCGTAATCGCCGTCGACGTCGCCGTAGTCGTCGACGTCGTCGCCGTCGCCGTAGTCGTCGACGTCGTCGCCGTCGTCGCTGACGCCGCCGTCATCGCCGTCGTCGTCGTCGCCGTCGTCGTCGGCGTCACCGTCGTCGCCGTTGCCTTCGCCGTCGCTGTCTCCGTCGCTGCCGCGGTCGCGGCCGGCGTCGCCGTCGCCGTCGTCGTCATCATCGCCGCTGCGGTCACCGGCGCCGTTGTCGTCGACGTAGCCGCCATAATGGGCGTCATCGTCGTCGCCGCTGCCATCGCCGTCGCCGTCACCGTCAACGTCGCCGTCGCTGCCGTCGCCGTCCCCGTCGGCACAACCGTTGTCGTGGTTGTCGTCGTCGTCGTCGTCGCCGTCGCTGTCGTCGTCGCCGCTGTCGCCGTCGCCATCGCCACCGCCGCCGTCGTCGCCGTCGCGGTCGTCGTCGTCGTCGTCGTCGTCGTCGTCGTCGTCGTCGTCGTCGTCGCCGCCGTCGCCGCCGCCGCCGCCGTCGCCGTGTTCGCAACCGTGATCGTCATCGTCATAGTTGTCGCCATAGTCGTCGCTATCGTCGGTTTCGTTGTCGTCGCCGCCGTCGTCGTCGCCGCCGTCGTCGCGGTCTCCGCCGCCGTCGCCGTCACCGCCGCCATCCCCGACGCCGCGCCCGACGCCGCAGCTGCAAGCGTCATCGTCGCCGTCGCCGTCGTCGTCGTCGTCGTCGTCGTCGTCGTCGCTGTCTTTGTCGCCGTGGATCTCGCCGTCGCCGTCGTCGTCGCCGTCGTCGTCGTCGTCGCCGTAGCCGTTGCCGGCGCAGTCGCCGTCGCTGTCGTCGTCGCCGTCGTCGTCGCCGTAGCCGTCGCCGTCGCCGTCGCCGTCGCCGGCGCAGGCGCCGTCGCAGCCGCCGCCGCCGCTGTCATTTTATCGTCGCTGTCGCCGTCGCCGTCGTCGCCGTCGCCGTCGCCGCCTCCGTCGCCGTCGCCGCCGCCGCCGTCATCGTCATCGTCATCGTCGTCGTCTACGGTCGTCAAGGCGTGGTGCTTTGGGTACTGGTAGCCTTGGGGCTGGGTGGGGCACGTCGGGGCGGGGGTGCACTGCGATCGACGTAGTATTCGCGCGAGCTCCAGCTTATAACGAGGGCCCTAGGCCGTCGCCGTCGCCGTCGCCGTCGCAGTCGCCGTCGTCGTCGCCGTGGCCGTGATCGTCGTCGCCGTTGCCGCCGTGGTCGCGGTTGCCGTCGGCGTCGTCGTCGTCACCGTTGCCGCTGCCGTCACGGTCGCCGTCGGTCGTCGTCGTCACCGTTGCTGCTGCCGTCGCGGTCGCGGTCGCCGTCGCCGTCGCCGTCGTCGTCGTCGTCGCCGTCGCCACCATCGTGATCGTCATTGTCGCCGTCGTCGTCGACATTGCTTTTTGCGTCGTCGCCGTCCGTCGTCGTCGCTTTCGCCGTCTCCGTCGCGGTAGCCGTTGCCGTCGCCGCCGCCGTCGCCGCCTCGGTCACTGTCGCCGCCGAGGTCACTTTCCTCGACGCCGTCGCCCTCGTTGTCGTCGTCGCCGTCGCCGTCGCCGTCGCCGTCGCTGCCGCCGCCACCGTCGATGTCGCCGTCGCCATCGCCATCGATTTCGTCGTCGCCGTCGCCGTCGCCGTCGCCGTCGTCGTCACCGTCGCCGTCGCCGTCGCGGTCGTCGTCGTCGTAGCCGTCGCCGTCGCCGAGGCCGTCGCCATCGTCGTCGCCGTCGCAGCCGTGATCGTCATCGTCGTCGTAGCCGTCGACGTCGCCATCGTTATCGTCGTCGTCGCTGTCGTCGACGGCGTCGCCGTCGACGCCGTCGTCACCGTCGCCGTGATCGTCATCGTCGCCGTCGTCGTCGCCGTCTCCGTCGCCGTCGCCATCATCTTCGCCGTGGCCGTCGCCATCGCCATCACCGTCGTCGCCGTCGTCGTGGTCGTCGCCGTCCTTGTCGTCGTCGCCGTCGTCGCCGTCGCTGTCGCGGTCGCGGTCGCCAACGCCCTTGCGCGTCCGAATTGGCAGGCCAAATCTTGCGCTCGAGCCCTGAATCTCCGGCCAGGGAACATCTAGGACTCGCTGGAAACATGTCAAAGGATAGCCGCGACCCGATGCAACGCGACCCTGGTTACTCGAACAAGCCCATCGCGGGGTGAACTGGCAGGGAAAACAAAAGACCCCCGCAGCCCGAACGGGCTCTGACCCCGCATCCCCAAGAGTTTACTGAAACAGACCGCGGACTTGACTACAACGAAAAAGCGGCGTTGTTAAACAAAGAAGCGGCTTTACTGAAGCGAAACAACGGCTTTACTAAAGCGAGAAAGCCGCTATAGTAAAAGCGCGCGGCCCAATACATTCCGAACAACGACGTTCTACTAACGCAGAAAAGAATCTTCGTAAGGCGGAGAGACGGCTGGGGTAAAACTGCGTGCAGAAATCTCGCTCCTCCCATGGAATCTGGCGCGGGGCTCCAGGAACGAGGGCGGGGCGCAAACTCGCCCGTGGGCCCTAGCCCCGTCGCAGCCGTCGCCGCGATATTCGTCATCGCCGCCGTCGCAGTTGCCGTCGTCCTGATCACCGTCGGCGCAGACGCCGCCGTCGTCGTCGTTGTCGCCGTCGTCGCCGTGACGCCCGCACATTCACGTTATTACCAGCGGCGGGTTGCGCGCGACCGCGCGCGTCATTGCGCTCGCATTTCCGCTCCTCCGACGGGGGCCCAGGCGGACATCGTAATTTCCCCCACGCACAACTCGATTAAAATGATAATGGGGAAAAATACGCCTCTCATCGTCGCCGTCGTCGCCGTCGTCGTAGTCAACGTCATCGTAGCCGTCGCCGTCGCCATCGACGTCGCCGTCGTCATCTCCGTCGTCGCCGTCACCGTCACCGTCACCGTTGCTGGCGCCGTCGTCGTCGCCGCCGTCGTCGTCGCCTTCGACGTCGCCGTCGCCGTCGCCGTCGTCGTCGGCGTCGCCGTCATCGTCGATGTCGCCGTCGCCGTCGTCGTCGCTGTCACCGTCGCCGTCGTCGTCGCCGTCGCCGTGATCGTCATCATCGTCGTCGTCGTCGCCGTCGTCGTCGTCGCCGTCGCCGTCGTCGAAAGCGCCGTCGTCGTCATCGTCGTCGTCGTATTCGACGTCGTCGTCGTCGTCGCCGTCGCGGTCGCCGTCGCCGTCGCTGTCGCCGTCGAGGTCGCCGTCGCCGTCGTCGCCGTTGCCGTCGCCGTCGTCGGCGCCGTCGCCGTGATCGTCATCGTCATCGTCGTCGTCTGCGGTCGTCAAGGCGTGGTGCTTTGGGTAATGGAACTCTTGGGCTTGGTGGGGCACGTCTGGGCGGGGGTGCACTACGATCGACGTATCATTCGCGCGAGCGCCAGCATATGAGGGAAAATCTAGGCCGCCCCCCTACGTGCGATGGTCACCGTTACCAGAGGCGGGGCGTTGGCAAGGGCGACGACCACGACGCGCCCGATGATAAAAACAATCTCGTCGGCGGCGTCGTCGACGATCTCTGGGAGAGGTGTTCGGATGCTTTTGTCGGTTCTCGGCCTCGGGATGCGCTCCAGCCAGTGCGCCTCGCCGAGGGCGTTTCCGGGGTGCCAGAATCGTCCCGAACGGCCGCCGGAGAGCCGAGTCATGACCCGAAACCCCAGATCTGGGACGATCTGCGTTTTTCAAACCAGGTGTTTTTTTCGATTGCAGCACCTGGGGACCGTTAACAGACCCCGCGACCAGGGCTGAACCTGAACGTGGTTGTTCGTGTTGTTTTCGTGTTGTTGTTCGGTTTCCTGCTTGTTTTCCTGTACCTCCCTGCCAAAACGAAAAACGAAACACAACCGAAGTCCAGCAAAACAGCGTTTAAGTCCAGCCCTGCCCGCGACCATCAGAAATGGATCCGGGGCGGAAAACTTTGCCCCAGGGGAAAGAGAGACCTTTGGGGGGGCTGCGGGTTGAGAATTCGCATCGGCGGCTGTCTGGCTTCTCGTCGGTGCCGTCTTCGTTCCGCGTCTTCCAGAGAGGTCGACAACGTCGGCGGCGTCGTAGTCCTCGACGTCGGAGTTGTCGTCGGATTCGCCCTCGTCGAAGGTAGTCGTCGTGTACGCCGCCGCCGCCGCCGAGCGCCGCCGTCGTCGTCATCGTCGTCATCGTCGCCGTCGCCGTCGTCGTCGAAGACAGCGTCAGAGGCAGCGTCAGCGTCAGCATTGTGGTCAGCGTCGGCGTCGGCGTCGGCGCCGTCGGAGGCTCGAGGGTATCTGGGACGCTCTCGGCTCTCCCTCAGGCCTGAGAGCACAGAATCCCAGACCCTGTGGCCTTCCGCAGGACTAATGCTTCGGTCTGGGTTGGTTCTTTGCGGACGGTCCCCGGGCCCAGGGAGGGCGTGGGGAGGCCAAAAAAATCCGAAAACCCTCAGGGGGGAGGGGAGGCGAGGGAGCGAGGGAGGAAGGGAGGGAGGGAGGGAGGGAGAAGGGAGGAAGGGAGGGGAGGAGGAGGGAGGAGGAAGAGGAGGAGGAAGAGGAGGAGGAGGATCCGTGTCCGCGGCCTCGCGGGCCAGGCGCCTGGGCCGCGACCCCGCGCATACGGCGCGACTTCTCGGGGATGCCTCGCCCAGAACGTGTCCGTGCGGCCGCGCACCCTCTTTGGACACCCGAAATGGGTACCGAAAGAATGGGTACAATTCGCAACAACAAATGTTGTCCCAAACCAACAGCGGCCGCTGTTGGTTTGGCGGCCTTCTGTCTCAAATGGACACAGGCCGCGGCGGCGCGGACAGCGAGTCCTGTTCAAAATGAACAAGAACTGCTGTTGGGCATTGTACCCATTCTTTCCGTGCCCATCTCGTTCGTGCAGACCCTCAGGCTCGCAATTCCGGGACTCCAGACCGCGAGAGCGCGGATACGGCTACGCTCGTCGCCCGTCGCTCGTGAAGGAGTAACACAAAGGAGCGACGAGCGTACTGAAGGAGTCGCGCCGTGAGCACTCGAGCACCCACCTGTGGGGGGGCACAATCGGGCCGGGCGAAGGGGGGGGATAGCAAAGGGGGGGGCCTGAGAATCAGCTCGCGCAGCTGATTTTCCCGGCGCTGGGACGCGCCGATGTATCGAGGAATGGGCCCGGCGGAGGGGGCCGAAACCAGCTGCATGCAGCAGATTTCTCCACCCCCCCATTCCCTATCCCCCCCTTTTCGTCCGGCCCGACACAAGACAGAGGCCTCCCAGATGGGGTCCGAGCAGATGGGGTCGGAGGATCGCGCCGCATCGTCGATGCATCGACTATGCACCGGCGATGCATCGGCGATGCATCGGCAACGCATCGGTGTGGAGAGCATCGGGCTACCCATCGAGTCGCATCGCCGATGCATCGCCGACGCGCAGCGATCCTCCGACCACATCTGCTCTGACCCTATCTGGGAGGCCTGGTAAGAACCATTATAGTCTCACAGCGAACGGCCTCACTAGAGAAACCCTGTAGTAGCCGCACAGAATGAAGAGAATCAAACAGGGCAAGGCTGTCCAGTAAACACCCAGGACTAGTAGACGCCAGTGATGGGGGTTTGGAGTGGTTTTTGCTCCCTAGACGTCAGGCCTCAGGAACCCCCTCCTCCCATGTCATCTTGCTGGGTCTTGCGAATCGGCGTTAAGCGGGGGGCGCTAGTCGATGCGAATCGACGCTAATCGAATTCAATTCGACACAGAATCTGCCTTGTCCATCGATTACCAGATGCTGGCGCACACCAATGCACTCTAAAGATGGAATTTCGAGGATATGCAAGGCTCCAACGAGTTGCCGCCGAACGATCCCGTGATTCGCCTGGCCAAGAACGGCGTGTCAGGAGGCAATTCCTGCGAAGTCTTCATCGCAACGATTAAGGGCTACTAAGCCTGATGAAATAGCCAAGGAGCCGGATCAGGCCGGATTGAGCCCCGGACGATGCCAGATTCGGGGATCTTCTGACCCGGATCAATCCAGACCCGGGTCAAACAGGCCTTGCAGGATCCTGCAAGATGCTGCAGGGTCCTGCACCGAAACCCGGGTCAATGCGACCCTGGCCCTGCAAGATCCTGCAAAATCTGGCGCTCTGGCTGACCGACCCCCGTTTGCATTGACCCCCGTCTCCTGAGCCCCAACGGAATAGGCTCATGATTAATCCGGGTTCAGCGGGATTGGGCCAGATGAGGCGAATTTTCGGCCGGGGGGCGTCGATTCTGAATTGAACCTCCCGGGAGTGTCCGTGCGTCCAAGAGGGGGACGTCCAATGAGGGGGGGTCAGGAGGGCCCAACATCGAATCGATAAGTCGAATCGGCGATCGAAATTAATCGGATCGGCGGAAATCAGTAGCCAAGTCGGGAGGAGTTGGATCGGCGGACATCGGCAGGCTAGTAGGCCTCAATTGAAGGGTCGGATCCCAGATCGGATTCCGAAGTCGAATCGAATCGGAATCGGAACCCATCGAACTCGAAGTCGAACCGTCGAATCGACTCGGAGGAAGCGAAACGAGCCCTGCCAGGGAGTCCGAGAGAGGGGGGCGTCCAAGGCGGGGGGTCACAGGTCACGGCCCAAGGCGGTCGCGCGGCCTGGGTCGGGGGGGGAGGAAAGAGACGCATTCAAGAAGCAGAAGGATAACAAAATGACGAGGCACCAAGACATCACCATGCACAGAAGCAGATCTCAAGAAGGAAGACATGTCAAGAACACTCAAGAAGAAGAACAGGCAATGATAATCACAGGCAGAGGAACAGGCAAGAACAGACAGAATACACCATCATGCACGTCACCAACACTTCCAGAAGACTTCCAGAAGGACGGGCACCGTGACACCTGGGAGGGTAGCATGGCCATCGCGACGGTATCCCCCCCCTCCGACGTCCCTCCTCGAGAACAGGAGCGACTTTTGTCCCGCGGCGCGGCGGCGCCCCAGGGCCCCAACACGTCAACGCTCGCGCCGAAACTGACGACTGCGGGAACGCAGATCCGACCCCGTGGGCCGCGCTTCGCGCGTCGGAGCGGCACGAAACACCTGCGCTCGACTTCGAGGAGGGTGGTGGTCATTACCCGCCCTCCGTCCTCCTCCCTCCTCCCTCCTCCCTCGTTCGTGGCCGCCCCAGGGAACTGGCATCCGAAGGTTTCCTCACCGAAGCCGCGCGCGCGCCGGGGGGGGGCCGATGCGGGCGGCGGGGCAGGAGCGGGGGCGGGGGCAGCGCTCGCGCCTGCCGCAACAGCCGCCATGTGGGGCGCTGCTGAGGCGCCGTGTTTTCGGGGAGGGGATCGCGCACTCAGCATCGGCAGGCCAATCGACACGTCGGTAGCAGTTGCAGCGGGCCCCATCATCAACAACAGCAACAATCATGCTAAGACTCTTCGCTCTCGTATGCTCGCGTGCCAACCAGCGCGTCTCTCCCAAGCCCTCGATGCCCGCCCTCTTCGTCTTTGATCGTAGCCCCTGTGGGGGCACGCGTAATTGGTGCAGTCTCTACAACAGGAAGGCCAACATTCACTAATGGAAGAGGGGGAGGGCGAGGAGGAAGGGAGAGGAGGAAGTGAGGAAGGAAGGGAAGAGGGCAAGAGGGAGTACATGATAGAGGGCGAGAATAATAGCAAGAGAAAACGGCACGGAAGACTCAGACTAAAGCGCGCTTCATGAAACATGTGCGAGGCAGTCCCAAGCGAGAGCCCGATTCCAAAGAGCCGAGAGAGCGATGCGTTGATAAGTTATAACAGGTCTCTGACGAGAGCGATGTTTCTGGATCAATCGTATGGAAGTCTCAAGCGGGAGTGCGCTTCTTCGGTGAACTGTGAGGAAATATCAGGCGTGAGACGTTGTTGCTGTAGTTCTAAAGCGATTGGCCCAATATGATACCCATGGCGTTCCCTTTTGTGAGGCATACGATGCGAGCCCCAGGCGGGGGCACGTCTTCCTCCGATTGCGAAAACGAGTCGCAATGGATGTGTTGCGCGTGCATTGCACTATTGGGTACAAACGGATTCCAAGAACCAGGCGCCGATCGGCCTGGAAAAAAGCGGGTGAGATGTGCGCGATGCAATGACCACACGGGCTACACTTAGGTCGGGCATGTCCCCTTACAAACGGAATTTGGGCACATTAATAAACAAATTCGAACATACAAAATACCTGCGTATATCTATATATATATCCGTATATATACATACATACATATATATATATATGTACAGGTATGTATGTATATACATTCATATACACATTAGCTACATAACAAGCACACGTCCCCGTGTCGTGTTCTAGTTATGTTTGAATGTTCCTCCTGTGGAGGGACGGCCCCGACTGAAGACCACACGGACGATTATAATCATACCCTGCCAAGAAGAACCTTCTTCGGGAAGGCGAGCCCCTCCGTCGGCCAAAACAAACACGACATCCAAGGGTGCCGTGCCCACGATGCAAAACATCCAACAGCCACGATAAGCACTGAGATGCCCTCCCCGAAACGACGTCGATCTTAGACCCCGGTCCGCTCGCATGGATATCGCCAACATGCGCGCGTAGTTCAAGGAAGGTCCGCCGACCCCTTGTGGGTCTTTAGGCGTGTGAGATTCCCCCCCCCTAACCCCCCCTCTGGGACCCCAAACCGGCAATTCGAGTCCCCCCCCTCGCCCAGGACGACCCACCGCCGAACGCGCCATGGGGGAACTGACGGCCCCAAAACGAGCCAAGAGGGCACCAAAACGCCTCCCTGACCGTCCAAGCAGGCGACGAATCGCCGAAATGTTGTTCCAAGACGCCCACGATTGTTTCCAGACGATCTCCGAAGTCCCGAAGACGACCCAGGAGGCCCCCAAGGGGCGTCCCAAGCGAACCCCAAGAAACAACAATCGCAAATTCCTTTTCGTAAAACGTCAATGTTTAGTAAATTGGCCTCTTGGGGTTTCGTTACGTCCGACACGGGCCATGTAACCTTTCTCATACCCCCCAGGACGGCATCGGCAACTGCGGAGAGAGGTCCAAGCAGCGCCCAAAACGGGCCAAGAGGTCTCCAGACGGCCCCAACAGGGAGCCCGGAGGGCAACTGTTTGATCTTTTGGCTCCGAGATTCTCCTAAAAGGGCCCCGGGGAGCCCCAAGCGAGGCCCAAAAGGCCCCCAACAGGCTCCCAGACAACTCCGTACGAGGCCCATGCACTACCTCCAAGACGCCCCACGCGACTCCAGACCGGATTGTGATTTATCCTCCTCCTCCTCCTCCTTCTCCTCCTCCGCGCTTTTGACCCCCATTTCGCCTCTCCCCCATCTTCCCACTGCTCCTCCTCCTCCTCCTCCTCCTCGTCCTCCTCCTCCTCCGCTTTCACCTTCTTCATGTTGCTCGTTTCATCGGATTCGCCCTCCCTGTCGCTCGCACCCCCGCTGCCCTACTTCTGCACGCCATGGCGCGGGCGTCCTCCTGGTATCATTTCGCGCGCCTTGCAGTTTAAAGTGCCCTTCTTCTCGTCACGCGCGGCGTGGCTCGCGTCCACGGAGCAAGCCGACTTCGGCAATTTCCTCTGGCACTTGCCACTGCACTGAAAGGCCTGCAAACTGCACGACGCGAGCCCGTCGGCAATGCAATCTGCGCGTGCACCTATACTCTTTCTCGCGAAGTGCTCGCCCTCCTGTTTGGCGCTTATGTGCTCCGGCCGAACGAACTGTTTCTGGGGCGCTTTGCACATGAGCAGTCGCCTCAACGGCTTCGACTCATCGGCCACACCCTTCGCGGCGATGCCCCACTCATGTCAGATTTCGCACGCTGCTCTTGCTCCTTTCTTCGCCCGGCGGCCCGCCATGTGGTTGCTGTTCAAATGGCCGGCTTTCGAGAACGCCCCGCAACTGGGCGCGCCGCGCGTCGGCGGCTTCGGTTCCGCCTCCGCCTTGCGCGCGCGAGCCCCTGCTTCGCAACTTGTCCACGGCGCCGCCATCTCCCGCTTCTCCGCGCATTTCCGACACAACCTCTCCCCCGCTGCGTTGCGTTTCTTCGGGGCTTTCGACGTGCCCACCTCTTCGTCGCACAGCGAGAGGCCCATGTCGTTCGAGCATCGCACTATGCCGGCGCTCTCGTTCCACTTCGCGTTGCCGCTCTGCGACATCTGCCTGGCTTTGACATGGCTGCGCTTCGCGCAATTCATTGCCCGAGCCCTTCTTGCCCCCCCCCCGTCGGCCGCCGCGCCCCCACCCCGACCCCTGACGCGCCGCGTCGCACCGTCATCCTCCGCCGCGCTTGCCCACCCCCTGCGCGTTGTGCACCATTTCTCGTCTGCGTTTCTCATCTTTCCAGTGTTTCCCCCCAAAACGCCGGCCTCTCCTCCCTCTGGAACTCGTAATTCGTGAACGCCTATACCAACGACCTCCGCCGGCAGCGCTCGCGATGGTCTCGGGGCATTAGTTCCGCCCCCCACTCGCCCCAACCCATGCCCTCCCATCGTGGCATCTGCGACAGCTTCTTCGCGCCAGCCATCTCACCTTCGCCGCGTGGTTTCCGATCAAGGGGCAAGAAAATCACAGGGTTCCCTCGCCTGCGCGCGTGCGTGATTGCAACGTAACTTGACATCAAATTCATGCCGCGCCCTCGATCACGGCCCGCCATCGCTGCCCCCGCGGTCCAGTTCTGCGCTGGGTGCGCCGTCGCTGCCAAAGATGGGGTTCTTATACAATGGGCGCGTTTCGCACTCAATGCTGGATGCTTCCGATGCCCGCCCAAGATCCATTGCCGCCATTTCGATGGGAACATCGGATGCAGACCGGGCCCACGACCTGGCAGTTGCCACTCCTTCGTACGCCAGTCCAACACAATCACTCTAGGAAGATGCACTGTGACTTCCTCGTCCCCATCTCCCTGGACCTCGTCCTCGCGCCAACGCCCATCCATGGATCGTCGCAACGCGCCCCCGCAACACTTGCTTCCTCGACCGCTCCATGTGATCTGCTAAAGAGGTACCTGCATCCCCTACGCCAGAGGCAACCACCCTGGCAAACTTGCGCACTCCTTGTCGCGGTACCCCAGCCGCCGTACTTGATCCTCCACCGTGCACGGGCGCCCCTGCTCCCCGCCATGGTTCGGGCGATCTCTGGCTTCGACCCAGAGTAGCTGTTCCCCTTGTTTTTTTGCCCAGTTTGCAGCTCTCTGCTGCCCAGCGTGGCAGCGCATGTCCTGGTTCGCATAAGCGGCGACGGCGTCAACAGATTTCTCCTCGCGAAACCGCGCGTCTTCCGGCGACGTCGCACCGGTTTTTCTCTACTCTCTCGCTCAACTTTGCATTCCACACGCTCTCGCCCGTTCTGACTCGCAATCGCATCTGCGTCTCGTAGACCACGCGAGATCCTGCACAACGGTGCGCCGTTCACCCGCGACCCCCAGGTTGGAGCGTGCATCTGGGAGGTCGCCAGCAGAGCGCGGAAGTCAAGGCCCAGGCGCGACGACGGCCGTCGAGGAGGGCGCATTGGCCAAAGAGGCATGCAATTTCGCGCTGCGTCTCGCAAGCCCGTGGACGGGCAGGTGCGACAGGCCCTTGTGCCCGCGCGGTGGAAATAGAGAGGAGCGCGCTCTCGCGAGGACGGGCGCAAGGGGGGACAGGGCGGCGAGCGTGGATCTGGAGACTGCGCAGTTCCGGCCAGGGAAGATTATGGATGCGGACGCGCCCCGCGCTCGTTATGTCGTGCATCCCGGACGCCAGGTGATGAATCAGATCGCTCCGCGGTTTTCGGGGTGACGTTTCCGTTCTGTTTCCAGTGAGTGGCGGGGATGCCGGACTTGCCTCGGTGGCAGGAGAACGCGCGCCATCGACGCAGACCAGCCGCGCCCCGCGTGGAACTGGCCCTGTGGGCGCGCATCAAGACGCGCCGGGTGGAGTCGCAATTTCGGCGTGAGTGGAGATTTGGCTTTGTGGTGTCGTCGATTTCGTTTCAAAGTTCTGCGAAAATGGTACGGCCCGTGCGACTGGCGGACATTCGGAAGGACGGGCAGACGGAACGCCAATATTCGCGAGGTGAATTGGAGAGGGCGGCCGTGAGCATCCGTCGCGCGCGCGCGCCCCAGCCGCCGTCGTCGTCGTCATCGCCGCCGCCGCCGCCGTCGTCGCCGCCGCCGCCGAGGTCGTCGCTGGAACCCCCAGGATTAGGTCGGGCATGTCCCCATACAGGTGGATCTTGGGCGAAAAATTAAAATGCAAAAAATCCGAAGAATTGCTCCCAAAAAAACTCAAAAGATCGTCCCCAAACTACCTGTTCACAATTTTCGGACACTCCTCCTGTAGAGGGGCACGCCCGGCTTAAGCCCAGGAGCCCCCCGAACCACAAAAGAGACCGCAATGAGTAGAAGAGCTAATAACCCCTGCCCACCCACGCCGGGTAATGCGGGCGGGGGTCATCATTCAGGGGGCCGACACCTCCAACAGAAAACTGACCCCCTAGACCCCCCCCCAAGGAACCCCCGAGGACGGCCAGAGGACCCACCCTCGCCAGGTAATGCCAGCGGGGGTCATCATTCAGGGGGCCGACACCTCCTCCAGAAAACCGACCCCCTGGACCCCCCCCCCCCAAGGAACCCCCGAGGACGGCCCGAGGACTCCAGAGGCGCCACAGGAGGTCCAAAGTCTCCTCGACCCTCTTCCTTGAAGGGGCCCTGGGACACACAAAGAAACAGACACAAATAACATGATTCCCCATATGATTCCATATTTTCTGGGATTTTGTCTTCCCCCCCCCCACTTCCCATATCTTCCCATACTGTCTGGAGGATCGACGATCAATTGTGACTGTGTTTTTGTTCCCCCTCCTGATTCCTGCTCAACCCTCGGCTTCCGGAAATCGGCGGCGAGCCCCGGGGAGAAGTGAGAGGAGGCGGGCCGTCTCAGGAGGCTCGGAGGTCCCCGGGCCGTCTGGGAATTGTCCTGAGCCTTGCCCACGACACAGAACGCCTTCTTTGAGGCCGCAGAGGCTGCTGAGAAGTCCCGCCGCCTTCTGAGAAGGCCTTCTCCTTCTCACTTTCCCCCCCCCCCCGCTCGCCGCCGACAGGAGGAGGCGATAACCCCGCCTCTGGTGACCTCCCTTGGCGCTGCC